CAGGCTCATGTTTTTGAACTACAGCACAAGATTGTGACCCTGCAAAGTCACTTAGCAACTCTTAGAAATAAATCTAGCTCCAGGAGAAAGAAGAGACTCTTTGTTCCTCAGCCTATCTCATCAGATCATATGAGAAATTTGCTTGGCATGCCAAAGAGTTAGTGCATGGCATATCCAGAAGCACATAATGAGAAACAAATACCTTTCAAACCTGGATCTAATTTTTCCTAAAACTCGGACCCCAATAACCAGCTCAAAATAGCATTTGTTTTTTCATGGTTTTCTGGGCAGTCGAGCCAATAGGCCACCCCTTACATGACACAAAACAGCCTACTGCTGGGAGAACTTGAAGGTTTCTTCCATAAGGTCCAATCAATATTTGGCAACATCCTATGAAGAAGAGTTTATCCCTATACTCAGTAATAGTGGTGAAAATCATTGGATCATCGTTGATGACACCCCTTCTCAATAAGGCTAAGTATAAGAAAAGCATGGTCATTGTAGATACAGGTAAGAAACCAGGAACACTAGCTCTTTGTCATTCTCATTGATGTCAACATCTCATTGGCTGGCATTTCAAGTTCCTATACTGCCTACAGCATTTGGGGAATTATGTCAGGTTTTCTCTACTGTTTCTGGAAATGTTTTGGACCACTCTTTACCAGAGGATCACAGGTGACCAGACTAGCACTCTCCAGAAAATATAGTGAGTTCTGAGTTTTCTGCCCATGATTAATATAATAGACATGGTCTGTGGGGCTTCCCATTTTGGTCTGCCACCAATACTGCTGGGTGGACCAGAAATATGGGTTCTCAGATAAGTTTTGGTCAACATTCTGCTGAAGGAGTTCATTCAAGTATATACTTTCCTTGGGAAGACACTAGTGGTCTTCATTAGGGAGAAAAATAAAAGAGAGAGTTCTGGTTCTGGATTACTAGGCTTTTAAGATGGCAACTTTACAGGATATACATCGTAAACCAGTCATGGGAGGCCAGGGTTACAAAGCTGAAACTCTAGGAGGTACACAACTTGAACCCCTTCACAGAGGTAACTAATGGAAGAGTGTCTTCCAATGTAGCTAGGGAAAATTGAGTGGACCATTATGCCCTCCTGGCTTAGTAATGCCCTGGCCAACCTACAGTTTCATAAATTTCATTTTCCCAAACCTCCTAGATTTGGGTTCAGTTGAAGGTATATTTGGACAATATTTTAATATATTCTCAAAATCCTCTAACCTCTTATGTCCCTTTGTAATAAAAACCTACCTCACAGAGTTATTATGAGGAAAGCACTTTGAAAATTTGAAGTGTTGTATAAATGTCAGCTCTTATAATTGTTCTCTAATACAGCAATTAGAGCCCTCTTCTCTCAGCTTGATTTGAAATATACCCGTTGACATCCACAGCAAATTTACACCTACTACCCTGATAGAGTCATTTGGCTAGTGGTACCATTTGGTAGCCGAACATACATATATTACATTTCCCTGAAATGCTAGACTAAGGAATTTGGAGTTTGTTTTAGTAGGAAATAGAGAGTTATGGAAGGTTTTTGAGCAATATAATTACATGATCATATTTGTGTTTAAGGAATATTATTCTGGCAGCAATTTGATAAATGTCCCAGATAAAAGGAGAGTCATCCTAAAGTTGGGGTAGCCAAACAGGAGGTAACTGCAATAGTCCAAGTGAATAATAATGAAGGTCTATACTAAAATGGTGACAATAGGAATAGAAAGGGCAAGATTATTTCTATATATATTGTGGAGATTAGGTTTTAGGGAAGAGAGTGATAGGACACACTCTCTTCAAACTATAAAACATTAGAAAAGCAAAGAGTATTGCCAGAGGAAAGTTTAGAAAAATAAAAATAACCTCCTTTTCTCTTTGAAAAGGTGGGGCACATTGAGTATAGAATACACAGGTGAGGTGTTGGTTGAACTTTTTTTCTCTTTGTTTTTAAATCCTTGTTGCAGAATCACTGAATCACAAAACATGAGAATTGGAAAGAGTTTCACCAGGCTTCTCATACAACCTGTAACAGAAAGGACTCCCTACAATAACATACCTGTCAAGTGGTCATCCAGCCTTTTTCTGCAGACCTTCAAGGAGCAGACACCCATAACCTCTTAAGGCAGCCCATTTCACTTTCAGACAGCGTTTGGGCCAGTTTTGTTTTTGTTGTTTGTTCACTAAGCTGTGAAATCGAGCCCCGGTGCCAAGCAAGGGGAGAACTGCTTGGGCCTCCTGGTGGGGTAGGAATCTCTGGCTCTCCCTATCTAAGCACAATGTGGGCTGAAACGTATAGTGACTATGTTGGTTCTTTCCCTGCTGTTGTCTATTTTTCCTGTTCTTAGAAGAAGGAAGATTGGAAGCATGGTGGGGACTTGTGAGCTTCAAAAGGTTGAAAGAGCTAAGATATCTTTCCAGAAGCTGTAGCTACCACATTCCTGAGGGGCAACCTATTTGACCCAGCTCAGCTGCGGATAGACCTGGAAGCCAAGATGCCTTGTCCTGCAAGCAAGGGGACGAGTTATCCAACAGCCATACTGTTCCTGTAAGTGAACTTTGTCGGAAAATGATTTGTAGCAAATGCTTTAAGTTTGAGCCTAATCTCCACAGGGACTGAGGTTTTGAGGTGAGTGTACTCCCCCTACTCCACCCCCCACCCCAGTTCAAGGAAGTGTGCTTCTTGCTCTGTCTTCTAGGTAGATATCCCTTTTGTAAAATATAATTGATTTTCATTGGCTATTCGATATTGAGGAGATAATGAATTGGTTAAATTAGTAGTGGTATGCTAATCAGTATTATCAATGAAATTGTGAAGATATTAAATGGTGATTGATATTGGGGTGGGGGGGATACTACAAAGGGAACTCAGGCTAAAAGCATTAGAGGAATGCTTCCACCCTTGAAGGATACCCCCATAAGTCTAGGGAGAGAATGTAGTCAGATACATTCTGAGCACTTAACCTGCAATTCCATGGTCAGGTTTTGAGAAAAGGCCCAGAGTCTACATGGACCACATCTGGTATCCTTAATTTTTTTCATATTTATTATGATTTTTCCTTTTTCATTTAGAATTCTGTTGATGTACATCTTTTGCTTTTGCAACACATGAGAAACTTCTTTCTCTTCCTATGCATGCATCAGCCTTTATCCTTTCCCTTTCAACATAATGGGAAAAAGCCTACCCAAATCTTATCAATGTAAACCTCCAATATTAACATTAAATGAAAAAGGCCATTTTTCGTAGAGATAAAAATAAAGGAAGATGGTATATACATGGTATATACATGAGAAAACATTTCCAAGAATTCTAGTTTGTACTTGTATCCAAATTATTCAACTGTGTATAAATAACTTAGCAGCAAGACAGTCTAAGGTAATTTCTGTCTTCATTAACAATGATCCATTTGACCAAAAGGCTATGCTAACTCTCTGAGGCTCAACACTCTAAATTAGTATGCTACCATTATTCTGTTGGCAGTATATGTGAATTGCAATTTAGTTCAAAAAGATGGATCTGTGATACTTTACTGGCAACTATTTTGAAATTTCTTCTTTGTTGAACTGAACAACCTCCTATAGTTTCATATACATTTTAGGAATGGGGCAGTATCTTAAATTCTTGTAATAGTGTCTTGCACATTCTAAGACACTGAAAAAGTAGCTGTTGATTAATTTTTGCAGCTTTTCATTATTGAGGGTATCAATCTAGAAAGCATTTATTAAGTGCCTACTATGTTCCAGGCATGGTACTAGACACTTTGGATAGAAAGAAAATAATTTCCAAGGAGGTGATATGCATTCTGCTGGAGAAACATTTTAAGCATATAAACCAATTCCAAATACATAGGTAAAAAATACAAAATAATTTTGAGAAGCCATGGTCAGTCCTCTGCTTTAGGAACACCATTTGGTAGCTCTATCAAGAATAATAGGAATAAATATTGGAATATTGTAATAAAATACCTTAAGCCAGGGAAACCAATTAGGAGGTTATTGCAATAATCCTAGCAAATACTACCTAAACTAGGCTAGTAACTTGTCAGTGGAGAAAAGGCAGACAGATGGGAAGTGGAATTGACAAAACTTAACAACTGATTGGATGGGAGTGACAGAGAGTGAAGAATTCTACAATTTGTCAAACAATCCACTTTTTCTTTGTATAAGAATTAAGGCTTCTGGGACACCAAAGCTGAATAGTGCAGCAGATATAGAGCCAGACCTGGGGTCAGGAAGATCTGAGTTCAAATTCTTGACCTTACACATTTACTGGCTGTGTGTGTCACCTTGGGCATGTCACTTAACCTCTGTTTGCCTCAGTTTTTTGATCAGTAAAATGGGGGTAATAATAGCACTTACCTCCCTGGATTGTTGCAAAGATCAAACGAGATAATAAGTGTACAGATTTTCACATTGTAAACACCTCATAAATATTTATTATTAATTATATTACCCTATTTTTTTCAGATGGCCTGAATAAATTCCCCCCTCCTAATTATCCAAAAAATTTAGAAAAAATTAGAATGTTTTTCATTCTTAAATACTTGTTTTTTCGTAAGTTCACACACACAAAAACATTAAATTAAAAAAAAAAGCTTTAAGGATGACTCCCAGATTGCCCACGTGGGTGCCTTAGGAGGCTGGAGGTGTTTTCAACATAAATAAAAAAAAAGTAGGGTTTGGTGGGGTGAGGGTAGATAAGTTCTGCTTTGGACATTCTTAGTTTGAAAGCCTACAGCACAGCATTAAAATTCGTTTAATTCAGAGACCTTCTCCTTCCAAAAAATACCCCGATATTTTAAAGACAAACACAAAACCGCAGCTACCCCAGCCTCCTTCCCAGGGACAAGGAGGTGCGGGGTGGAGCCGAATCACGTGGGGTCCTCTCTGCCCTCCCTCCAGGCCCTCCCCGCTCCTCCTCGCCCCTCCCCGCTCTCTCCCTCGCCTGACTACGCGTTCCTGTTGGAGCGGAAGGGTTTGTCCTTCGGCGCAGTCCGTCCGGCTCGGCTGCTGTAGAATTGGGCTGACGTGTCGGCGGTTGCTGCGGTGGGCCGGGCAAAGCTGAACCGGGCCGGACCAGCGCCGCGGCCACTATGGCGGAGGCGTGGGACGAGATCCGACGGTTGGCAGCCGACTTCCAGCGGGCGCAGTTCGCAGAGACCACGCAGAGGTGCCCACTCCGACCCTGACCCTCACCCCCGCCCTCCCGCTAGGGGAAGCTCCCCAAATAGCCTCCCGTAGGACTTGGGCTCGCGGCGGCCTCAGAGTCGCCAGGGCCCCCCTGCCCCGAGGCCCTGCGCCTGGCACCCCGCTCGCCCTCGGGAAGGCCCTGGCTTCAGGCGCCCCCTAGCCGGTCTGGAGGCCGTGTTTGGTCCCCTACCCTCCAGTTCACACCTGGGGGAGGGTCCAGCTGCCTCATCGGCTGTTGTCTCTGCACGCACTTGTGCGGTAAAAGTTTCCTCCCAGACCTATGTGTGTAATGGACAAAACGACACAATAATAAGCAACCATAATAATAATAATAGTAATAATTCATTGTATTGGGGCAGCTATGTGGTGCAGTGGGTAGAGTGCATCTTCCTAGACTCATCTTCCTGAGTTCAAATCTGGCCTCAGACACTTAGCAGCTGTGTGACCCTGGGCAACTTAACCCTGTTTGCCTCAAGTTTCCTTCATCTGTAACATGAGCTAGCTGGAGAAATAGAGACCAACTCTCAGAAAAGCTTCAGTATCCAAGGCCAGACTCCAATCTAGGTTTTTTGTCTCGAGACTGGCCCTCTTCACCACTCCAACAGAGCTGCTTCAAAGAACAGCGTCGTAGGACTTGACACTGGAAGAAATGGCCTTGTGGGTTATTTAGTGGGCTTCTCTTAATTGTGAGATAAGGAAACTGAGGCCCAGAGAGGTCATTAAGGGGAAAAGAGATGACGTTTGTTCTGCTTGTCCCCAGCTAGCAGAAGTAGGAGCAATACTGGTGGAATTGACTGAGGCAAATTTAGATTTGATGTGAAGGGGAAACTTGCTGACAATTGGAGCTGCACAAAACTTAAATGGGCTGGCTCAGAAGCCCCACAGTGGAGGTCTTCAACCAGAGTTTGGATGACAGTGAGAGTTGTCATGGATTCTTTTGGCCATCTGATAAAGCCTATGAGCCTCTTCTCAGAAGGATTTAAATAATATTATTATTAATAAATAACAAATAAATATGGATATCTAAATACATTAATGTAAAAATATTAATATGTATCAGTATTATATATATATAAGATTACCAAGGAAATAAATTTATTGAAATGTAGTTATCAAAATATTTTTTAAAACAAGTTCAATACTCATAGGTTAAGAACCTTTGACCTAGTAGAATCAAATTTTAGAGCCGAGAGGAAACCATCAAGATACTCTTCTGCTTTTATGGATTCAAGAAGTTGAGTCACAAATGATTAAATAATTTGCCCAAGCTCATATTGCTAGTTAGTAGTAGTATGGAAAGTAGAAAGCCTATAGCTCTAAGATAATCTACTTAAGTAATGCTGTAAATACTCTAGGGTTCAGAAATTGCTTAGATAATTAAAACATTAACAGAACCGTTAGACTGGGTTTTCTATGTACTGGGTGAAGTAAAACATTACAGCATACAATGTATAAGTTTAAAGCTTTAAGCTTTAATGGCTTAAAATTTACACTATGACTTTTGGGACAACTTGTATTTTCAGATAGCCTGAACAGAAATTACATTTTTCCTGCAATTATCCAAAATATTGAGAAAAATAAGATCTTTTTTATTCTTGAATTGTTTGATCTTGATTTGACATTCTACTTTGAATGAAGGGAACCAAGGTGAACATCAGGCTATGGAGAGAATTAATTTGAAATGTGTGGTATAATTTGCAGGTACAAATAGGCCAAGTAAATGATAAAGCATTTCAACTAGCTTACTTCAAAGAATTAAAAATTTGAAATCAGCTATTTTTTTTGGTACTAGTTAAGATATTCAAATTGTAAAATTAGACTAATAGCTATTGTCTAGAACAAGATTCTTAGTATTTATGTCATTATAATTATATCTTACCAAAAATGATTTCTATTCAAGAAATGATATCAAAGTTACTACTGAGGACCAGTATTCAAATACTAGGATAGAGTAAGGGCTCAGTGATGAAAAGTCCAAATGTTGTACTTTAATCCATGAAATGTTAATAACTTAGAGGAAGATTTTTTCTAGTATATTGAGTGTAGAGCCTCTAAAGAAAATTTATGGAGAGTCATGGACAAGAATCTTACAGGCTGAAAATTCATGGATAGCCTGTGATTTGCACAGGTGGATATAGTACCAACACCAGTGAGATTATGGGTCCATCAAAAAATCTTTTTAAAATGGACATCTTTCCCTATTTTTCACAGGTTATCAGAACGGAACTGCATTGAAATTGTCACTAAATTGATTGCTCAGAAGCAGTTAGAAGTGGTTCACACACTTGATGGTAAAGAATATGTTACTCCTGCTCAGATAACTAGAGAAATGAGGGATGAGCTTCATGTTCGTGGTGGTAAGTGTCCTTAAATTTGAATTCTTTCTCTCTTTAAAATTATTCCAACAATAATTATGAAATAGTCATTTAGAGGGGCAACTGGATGGCACAGTGGATAGAACACCGGCCCTGGAGTTAGGAGGAGTTGAGTTCAAATTCGGCCTCAGACATGTAGCACTCACTAGCTGTGTGACCCTGGCAAGTCACTTAACCCCATTGCCTAGCCAAAAAAAAAAAAAAAGAAAAAAAACGAGAAAGAAAGAGTCATGCAGAGCTCATGATAAATTTTCCATAATATTATTTGCTAATATGATAGTCACATGATTTTAAAAAAACCTTATTGGTAGAAATAAAAATGTGAAAATATAATTGAAGTTATTTTAAATCATCATTACAGAGCTGCAAAATAACATCTATTTGGTAAATATAGTTGTGTATTTTAAATGCTAAGTTTAATTTATTTTGCTTATTTTTCTTAATTTATTTGCTTTGTAGCTGAAGGTAAGTCATTCAACTGCATTGTATCACTATATTATCTGTAAGATAGATCTTATCTGTAAGCTACTTGATAATTGTGAGAGAACCAATGATTTAAGTAATTTTGGAAAAAATCTGCTAATGCATGTCAAAAACATGATTTTTTTTTCACCTGTGAATTATACGTCTGCAAGTAAAGGGATTGAGAGGTATTATAGTGGAAAAAACGTTGAATTTTGGAGTGCAAAATTCATATCCTGGTTTTGTTATGTACTATATGAGTTTGGACAAGTCACAGGCCTACCTGAACCTCATTTAGCTTTATTTATAAAATAAGGGGATTGAAATAGTTGAATGGTCTCTAATGTTCTTTGCATTTCCAAGCTTCATTTCTGTATAAGTTCAGTGGCAAAGTATTTTATTCTAAGAATATCACAATATCTGTGCATAACGAACTTAAATTTCAAGGATAAAAAATGCTACCTTTTCCCTTTGCTCTTCATTTTAATTTTAGTCAAACAGTGGGAAACATTCCTCAGCTACTGCCTAGCCTTGAACATGCACTTTTTAAGTGATAATTCTGAGAAATGACCAAAGTGTGCTCTTCAGATTTTAATTGCTCTTTTATGATTATATTAGTAGTAGTAGCCAGGCCTTTTTCTCCTTCCCAAAAAACTGAATTTCCCAAGAAGTTAAAATAATATTTAATATAATCACAGCATTAGTGATACATATTATTTGTTTGTTATAATTTCTTCTTGAAGAGAACTAGAAGATTATTTACATTCTGAAAACTGAATTCACTATTCCTCTCGCCCCATCTTCTGCTGCTTCTTCCCTATTTCATTTAAAAGTACCTCTCTTTCCAATCGCACATAGTCAGTTATCATTGACTTTTCCCTCTCCCTCATTAGTTTCTTAGTTACTAAATTAAATTAGTTACCAAATCATTTTACTTCTTCCTGCACAATATAATAAGAACAGCTATCATTTATATAGCATTTTAAGGTTTGCAAAGTGCTTTACAGATGTTTAGTTTTATCTTCACAACAACCCTGAGAGGTAGGTGCTTTTATTATCCTCATTTTACAGATGCAGAAACGGAGGTAGAAGGAGGTTAAGTGACACATTTGTGACTGGGTTTGCACACAAGTGTTATTTCCTTCAGTTCCATTGCTCTATCCACTATGCATCCTAGCTGCTCTCAATATGTTTCATATCCTTCTCTTCCTTTCTGCTGCTGCCACCACAGTAATTTAAATCCTCGTCACTTCTCATCTGGACAATTGCCTTAATCTTAGCTCTTCTCCCTACTTCTTTTTTCCTCTATCACCAATGTTTCCTTTTATTGCTGCCAAAATAATATTTCTTATGCCCAGGCCTGACCATACTAGTCTCTGCTGAAAAACCTTCAGTAGAGCTTCGTTGCCTAGTAAAAATGAACTGGTGTTGGGGTTGGAAGCCCTGGGGTCAAATTCTAGGTGACACTTCTTAGTTGTGTAGTCACTTCGTTTATTTAGACCTTATTTTATTTATCTGTAAAATGAGGAAGTTGGCCTAGATCAGTGGTGGCAAACTCAAATAGAAACACTACTGCTGACTGCATATTGACTTAGAAAATCATAAATTAACATTACCTATATTGTATTTTTATTTATTTTGTTTAACATTTCCCAGTTAAGCCACAAGTTTCACTCCTCTCAACTAGCTGAGTTCTGAGGTTCATTTGCCTCTAACATTATGATTCTGTGAATGCCAAATTAAAACAGTTTATCCTGATTTTATTGTTTTACCAGTTCCATCTAACCACTTCCTTTCATATTAGGTGCATTAATATTGTCAGTGCAGAAACTTCAGTTTTATATAATTATAGTTATCTGTTTTGTCAGTGCAGCTAAGTGGCACAGTGGGTAGAGCGCTAGGCCTGGAGTCAAGAAAACCTGAGTTCAAATCTGGCCTCAGACACTTACTAGCTATGTGAGTCTGGGCAAGTCACTTAACCCTGTTTGCCTCAGTTCCTCATCTGTAAAATGAGCTGGAGAAGGAAATAGCCAACCACTTCAGTAATTTTGCTAAGAAAACCCTAAAAAGGGGTTACAAAAAGTTGGACACAACTGAAACAACTAAATGACAAAAAATCTGTTTTATCCTTCGTAATTTCCTCTGTCTCTATTGGTTAAGAATACATCTCCTACCCATAGTTTTGAGAGGTAGATAAACTGCTTCTCTTCTAATTTTTTTTAATAGTATGATCTTTAATATTAAGATCCCTTATCCATTTAGAATGGATTGTGGAGTATGGTGTAACATGTCAGTCTAAGCCTAATTTCTGCCAAAACACTTTCCAGTTTTCCCAAAAATGTTTTCTTTTCATCTTTTTGTTTTTTATCAAATTGGAAATTCTTTCCTAGATAATTTATGTTTTCTGCTTTATCAAACATTAGATAATTACATTCCATTGTTTCTGATTCTCCCATGTCTTCTGATTCTCTAGTCTAACCCCTTGATCCCTTGATCTACCTATCTGTTTCTAATACTAGATGCTTTATAGTTTAAGGTCTGGAATTGCTATTCCCCCTTCATCCCTGTTTCTTTTCATCATTTACCATTATATTCAAGATCTTTTGTTTTTCCAAATGAATTTTGTTATTTTATCAAGTTTTATAAAATATCCCCTTAGTAATTTGATTGGTACAGCATTAAAAATGTAAATTAACTTTGGTGGTGAAGAAGTTTGGGGGTGCTGGGACCCTGAGAATTTCAAGGCAGAGTTGTCTGGAATGAATTCACGCACTCAAGCCTTCTCTTAGCCAAGTGGCAAAAAGTTTATTGCAACGCTTTAGCAAAAGTGAGCAAGGGTACTTATGGAACCTGTGAGAGACTGAAGATAGTGCTGGGGTTTATATGGAAAAGGGGCACAGGAAAGGAATGCCAGGGATGCTAATTAGGTAATCTAAGGGTTCAGGTGTCTTTGGGAGCTCTGGAGGGAAAAGTCTACGGAGTATACCAGACATTGATGGAGTTGTCAGAAGCATGAACTTTGGGGATCTGGTTCCAACAGAGGCCTTGGGCCAGCCAGGGACAAAAATCCTTGGGCCAGCAACCCTCTGTCTGCTCTGATAAGAGAATGTGTTCTGCAATAAGAGAAAATTTTCTTACAGGATACTAAGAAATTGGGAGGCTCCCAGAGACATGATCTTAGGGCTGGGGCCTGAGCACCCCATCAGCAGTACTGTTATTTTTATTATATTAGTATGGCCCAGCCATGAGCACTGAATATTCCATCAGCTATTTAGGTGGTTCTCTATTTCCTTACGGAGAACTTTGTAAATGCATCTGTACCAGCGCTTTGTATGCTTTGGTAGATTGATCCTCAACATACTTTTTGTGTTTTGTAGTGATTTGGAATGAGATTTTTTTTTCTATTATGGCTTTTTTTTTTTAATTTTGTATATACTAATATAGATATTAGAAATGCAGTTGATTTTTGAGGGTTTATTTTGTAGAATGCAGCTTTGCTAAAGCTATTGTCTCAAATAATATCTTTGCTAATCCCTGAGAATTTCCCGAGTATGCCATCATATCAGAAAGTAGGGATGGTTTTATCTCCTCTTTACCTATCTTTATGCCTTTAGTTTCTTTTCCCTGTCTGATTGCTGCTGTTACTATTCCCAGAAGTATATCAGATGATAGTGGGAAGAGTGACTATCCTTGTTTTTACTCCTGTAATTTTGGGAAAAGGTTCTAATGTATCATTGCATATATTGCCTACACTTTATAGAATTTATAGAAAATATGATTGTGGGACTTTGTCAGAAGCTTTTTCTGCATCTGTTGAGATAATCAAGTGATTTTGGATGTTTAGGTTTGTAATATGATTAATTGTGTTAATTGTTTTTCTGCTATATATCCAATTTGGTCATAAAGAAGAAGTTCTTAGATAAGTCATTATAGTCAGTTTGTCAGGATTTTGTTAAAGTTTTGAATCAATATTCACTAATGATATTGGCCTATATTTTTCCATTTGGGTTTTGCACTCCCCTGGTTTAGGTATCAGGATTAAATTTGTCTCATAAAAGGATTTTGGTAGGCTGCTTTCTCAATTTTTGAGAATAATTTGTGTATTATTGGTACTGATTTATCAGTGCCATCCACAGAGGTTATAAGAAATGAAAGTGCTATGAAATGAACAATTCATTGACTTAATCTTAAGTGTCCCATTTAAGAATAACTGCTACTTTGCTTTCTTCTAACAATTCTGCATTTTCATTGACAGAGGGAACCCAAGTTAATGATTTAATATTAGATTAGAATGTGGTCTCTAGTGAGCGTACCAGGTATCTACACTTGACCCTGGACTGTTTATCATTTGTATCAGTGATGACTCAAATAAAGGCAAAGTTGGTATGGGATGTCTTATTTCAGCAGTGTAGGGGTCTTAAAAGACCTTTTACAAAAGTATCAGACCAGCTCATGCTTAAAGCACTAGGCCTTTATTAGGTGAATTTCAATTCAAAATAGCTGACACTCAGGCAAAAAAAACTGGGGTTCAGGATAGAGTCCAAAGGAGTCTCAGTCAATTTAAGGGAAGTATACAATTGGGTCTCAGTTGCCAGAGGGGGATGGATGTATGCACCCAGCTCTCATTTTGCTGGAGTTGGGCTCACCTCAAGGAGAGTGGTTTTGAGGTTACAGCTAGAGGAAGAAGGGTATCCAGTACTGAAAGAGGCTACCCTTAGATTTGGCTCAATCAAGTTAGGGCAGGCTTTCACCATTCCTTATAATGTAATGCCTGAGATCTTTGTCCACTCTTCATCAAGGCCAGGAAAGGTTACATCTGGGACCCTTGAGGACACGGACTATGGCCATTGGTTTCCTAGGGACAAGTTGAGTCTCACTAGATGCACTTTTAATTTATTTCTCTTCTCTAATATAACTCAGGAGGTACTAGGTATTGATTATCCAGAGGAAGCCCTCCCTTCAACCCCTGCAAAAGCAATGAACGTTTCTAGCATGTGGATTGAAAGTTCTTAGAACCTTTTTGAAAAAGGAAGATGGAAAGGTGTTTCTGGGCAGAGGTAGCCTGTCATAAGCTATGACCTGGAAAACAGGTTTTTGGATTACCAAAATATGTTTATCACTTATGTGGATGATACAACCCTTTAGATGACAGATTCTGGCTCTAAAAAATTGTGACAAGCTAGAGCATCAGGCCAGATTTAATGAAATGAAATTTAGTGAAGGTAAATTAAAAGTCTTATCCTCTGTTTTAAAAAACCATTTTACAACTACGAAATAGCTAGTGATTTGTCTAGATGGTTCATCTGTAAGTATCTGAAAATTTTAGTGGACTTAAAGTTCAATAGAACTTAGCACTGGTATGGCAATCCAGAATGTTAAAGCTATCTTAGGTTACATTAAAAAAGGCATAGTGTACAGGAATATAGTCTCACTGCTCTCTACCTTGGGCAGACCACATCTGGAGTATTGTATCCAGTTATGGATGCCACATTTTAGGAAGGATCTTGATGTACTTGAGAGGATCCAGAGGAGGGCTTTGAAATCATGTCATGAGGATTGGATGGAGGAACTAGGAAAGAAAGAGAAAACCAGGAAAGAACATTATAGCTGACTTTATGTGAATGTCTGTCTTGTGGAAGAAGTGTTAGACTTGTTCTGCATGGCCCTAGAGGGTATATAACTAGGAATAATGGATAGAAATTTCAAAGACGCAAATTTAGGTTCCATGTAATAATAATGATAGCATTTATATAGCACTTACTATGTACCAGATACTGTGCGAAGCACTTTACAAATATTATTTTCGATCATCGCAACAGCTCTGGGAGATAGATGTTGTTATTATCCCTATTATACTTGAAATGGAGACAAACAAAGGTAAAGTGACTTGCCCACAGGTCATATAGCTAGTAACTGCTTGAGACCAGATTTCAATTCAGATCTAACTCCAGGCAGAACACTTTATCCATTGTGCCATGTTGGCAAAGACAGGCTAACAGAGCTCTCCAAAAGTGGAGTGTATTGCATTAGGAGCTGTGCTGGGTTCTCCCTTAGTGGTAGATGATTGCTTGCAAAGGATATGGTTATATGTTACCTTTTTTAAGGTAAGATTTGGATTAAATAGCTTTTGAGGTCCCTTCTAATTCTGAGATTCTATGAATCTCTGATCAAAGTCCTTTGGATAATTTTTTGACTTGTTAAGACATACTACTTTCTTAGCGACCTAGTATATATACCATTTGATGTCATGAATTGGTCATATAGAATAATTGAAGTCTTAAAAATATATTATTGTTTATCTCCCTGACTTCATTGCAGAGGTGTAGGACAATGGATGTAGAATATCTCATAGTGTCAGAAATAATTGTATTGGTTAGTTTTGCTGAACTTTGAGAGTTTTTTATCCCTTTTTTAAAATCTTTGTTAGGAGGGATGGCTTACTGGGGGAAGTTAAGGTGGAGAAATATGTTGGGAAATAAATGTGATTATAAAAAATGGGACAGATAAAGAAAATAAACATATCTGCATGAATGTATCTGTATATGTGATTGTATGTGTGTATATATATATATTTAACTTTGCTTGTGCTTCGAGTAAGAGGATTTATGGAGATAGTTGATTAATAGTTAAAACAGGTCATTGTTGATAATGCCTCTGTGTGTGGAAATAAGATAGTGCTAAAATTACACACGTTGGAAAAAAATGTTTCCTATTTTACTACCAATTTTTTTCTAGTATTTTAGAACATGGATTTAAAAGTGACATTTAAACTTTGTGCTTTTTTTAAAGGTCGAGTAAACATTGTTGACCTACAGCAGGTAACTTTAAAATTTCTAAAATATTTGATCTTGACAGTTAATCTTTTTTTGTTATTGTAGATAATTTAGGTGCCATTATCTTAATTTTTTTAAAGTGGCCTTTGATACCAAGGGGCAAATAATTTTGCATAATGTATTTAAGTAAACAGTTGTGTAAATTATATTTAAGTTGATTAGTGCATGCAAATTTAGTTTCCCTCTCTCTATGAACATTTTCCTTTAATTTTCATCATAGTGTTATTTCATTTTTGTGGCACCATAAATTTTATATAATTGCTTCTGCAAAGTTAACAGGATTTCATTTCTACCTGCATGAAAGTTGGATAGTTAAAGTATAACTCTAGCTATGAGATCTGTTTTGAAGCATTTTGAAAATGATTCACTGTGCATGGTATGAAATTCTTCTTTATACTTGAGGAAAAAGTACTATTAAAATAAACACTATCTTAAACTCATGTCTTTCTAAAACAAGTCAGTGTTTGTTTTTATAAATCTTTTGTTTATAAGGGATTTCACACCATTTCTTTCTGGTGATATTAACATTTCTGTTTAACATATGGGGAAATTGGCATGAGGCACAGAGGAGTTTTGTAACTTACTCACACAGTCATAAAATTAGTGATAGGTCTGAGATAAGAACTTCGATTTTTTAAAAATCCCCTGACAGTTCTTTTTCAGCTAGATTGCAAAATATGAATTGAGCATTTTGTATCATTTTGAAAAATTAAAATTGTATTCATAAATAGAAGAAATATGGCCAAAATAGGAAAGGGAAATAAATATTTTGAGTGATCAAGTCATTCATTGGATTCAGTAATCTCCAGATTATATAGGTCTGGTCTAAACGCTTTCCTTCACTGTGATACTGACAAAGTAAACTAGAAGCGATAGTAAAAGGAGATATGATAGCCATATATGCAGAGACCGTTGGTTATCACTTTGATTTGGTGAGTGCTAATTTGCACAGTAATCTTCTTTTTATTTAGAAATAAAAGGTTTTTTTTTCCCTAACAGTTGGAATATATAAAATAATGTGAGAAACTTTCAATTCAACTCTCGGTTTTAAAGAAATATTATTTCAAGTTAGACATTTGAGATCAAAATGTAAAAAAATCTGTGCAAGTCTGTATGTACTATATTTTAGCATGCCTTTTAGAACCTAAGAAATAATGCAAATTTAATAATAATGAAATGTCTGTATGTTTTCCAGGTAATTAATGTGGATCTGACTCATATTGAAAACAGAATTAGTGACATTATTAAGTCAGAGAAAAATGTTCAAGTAGTGTTAGGACAACTGATAGATGAGTAAGTATATTTCAGAGCAGTACATGTTTTTATGATAGAATTTCTACTAAAATTTGATATGATTATTTGTGGCTACTTTTGACATTTGCTACCTAATACTGTTCTTGTGTTGCTATCTTCTGTGAGTGTTTTTTCTGTTCGTTCTGATATTTAAATAGCATCTTGGTGACATGAAATCTAACCTCTGATACTGCTCTCTCTGTGACCTTGGGCAAGTCACTTAACCTCCCTGGTCCTCAATTTCCTGGTCTGTAAAATGAAACAGTTGGACTGGGTTACATCTGAGCTGCCTTCCAGTTTTAAATCTGTGATCATGATTTGCATTTAGATTGGTATATGTAACTTAGTATTGGAATTGAGTATCTTATGCAAAAAGGCGATCTTAAAATGTTGGTAATTGCCTATGTATTGGCAGTTCAAAAGTTAAGTATGTAATGGTATGAAATGATGTGCGTATCTACTGTGAAATTTTATAGACCATGAATTTTCTTTCACTGCTGTTAACCAAAGAAATGGAAAACGTGGCTTCAGTAGTCCATCCTATGTGATCCCAATTGTGATGCAGTTTTCCCCCACTTTGGGAGAAATGGGAGTTATTTACTAATGAAAAAAATACTGCATTGTTTTTCCCATCTGTCTGCCCCCACCAAAAAGTAAAACGGCCTAAGAAAGTGTTTGAATATCTTTATGGTTAGGAAAGTAGTAATAAGAAAAATGGCAGTACTTTTTTTTTTTTTGATTATTGGCAGAAATTTATGCTTTCCAAAATAGCTTTGACTTATATTGTGAGGTTTGGGAAATATATATGTCCCTTTTGTCAATAATACTTTTACCTGAAAACATAAGTAAGTACAAAAAGCAATGTGATCATTCATTTTTATTAATTTCATACGTAGGAACTATTTGGATCACTTAGCTGAAGAAGTAAATGACAAACTACAGGAAACAGGTCAAGTGCCCATATCAGAACTTTGTAAAACCTATGATCTTCCAGGAAACTTTTTGACACAGGTAATTTCCTTATTAATGTAAATTGTTCTTCTTTTTTAAAAAAAAAATTTTATATCTTTTGTCTTTCACAGTTATCTCCCCTCTCCCCATTGAACCCTCTCTTGTGACAATGAAAACAATTAAGCAAAATCATCTGAATCAGATACCTTGTCAGACAATACCGTATTTTGTCCTTGTAGCTTCCCACCTCTCTACTGTAAGGTAGGAGGTATGTTTTGTTATTTCTTCTTATCATCTTCATTGCTTTTCTTCTCCCCAATATTAGACTTCTACTTCCTCTTATTGATCTTTTTGTCTAAATTATTGTATTCATTGTCTATATTGTTGTCTGGTCTTCATTTCACTCTTCATCAGTTCATACAGATCTTTCCATGTTTCTTTGATTTCCTTATATTTATCATTTCCTTTGTTACAAGAATTCATTTAGCATAAATTCAAATACCATGAGGTTTTTTTTTCAGCCATTTCCCAATTAGTAGGTACCATAAACTGTCTTTTCACATGTAAATAACTAATTGGTTAGGGGAAGGGAGACTTTTTTAAAACATTAATTTTCAATATTTTGGTGGTACTATAAGTAAAATAAAACATAAGGAAACTTTAAAATTCAATAACCAGGGACTAAATGTTTCATCACAGTAAAGTGGGTGCAGTTTATTTAATCCTTTTAATCAGTTAATATACATTTCATAAAAACATATCAAATTAGCATTCTTATTCTGATATTTGTGGTATTTCACCAGTGTGGGCTATAATTTTATTTTGAACTTTTGGCTCTGTATCAGCCAAGTCTCAGTTTAATAACTGAAAGAATAAGAACTCTTACACAACTTATTCTTTGAATATGTTAGTATTTCCAACAAACCTGATGATAAAAATACATTTTGAATGACAAGTAGTCCACAGGTCCACAAGTAGTCCACTTAAAAAACAGGGCATTTTATCTTCATCTTCAGATGTCTTGACATTTCATTGCTTTACTTTCTGTTTACCAAAAGCCATTAGTCACATGAGGGGAAGATATATTTTTGGTGTGTCCAGTTGAAGAAAAGTCCAACATAAAAAACTAGTCTGAAAATCAGTTGTGGATATTTTAGTATAATTCTGTATACTATAATTAGTATAATATGCAGCCTGTGAGCTGCATATTTATTGACTTAGGTAGCCACATGTTAACATCATCTGTGTTTATTGTATTTTTATTTATTTTGTTAAATATTTCTGAATTACATTTTAATCTGGTTCAGACCACACTTGGGAGTGTTGTGAGCTACATGTGGCCTGTGGACAGTATGTTTTGACATCTATGAGATAGAGAATACATAGTCCTGCCACAAGATCACTAATCATTGATCTCCTTCAGCTTACTCATTTGTAACATTTCTGGCGCGCATCACAAATACAAAATAAAATAGATTTTAGTGTGTCTGTATATTATTGTAGCCTATCCTTGCATTTACTGTAATTTTAATGTTTATATTTAGGCACTGTCCCAGCGTCTGGGTAAAATTATCAATGGGCAAATAGACCTTGACAACAGGGGAGTGATTTTTACTGAGGCATTTGTGGCTCGACATAAGGCGCGCATACGTGGTCTTTTTAGTGCAATTACCCGGTAAGTATTACACAATAAAAAGTACATATATTTTTGTGTAGATTAAAGTGTAGTCCCTCACATTTTAAACCAGCTGAGCTTTCTTTTTAGTAGTAGGATTTCAGAATCCTTTTTGTTTATTTTGACCAGCTTTAATTTCATGATGTGGAGGTAGTGTAAAGTGGCATTTACCGAGGCCAAATGTTCCAGGCCCTGATACCTTAACATTCTTTTTTCTAAAAGACTACTTCCAAAATTCAGTCATCTTAACATCTAAATTCACAACTCAGTGCCCATGTGGCAGGAATTATTATAGTGAGTCAGCTGTGTAGTCTTATAAAAATAAAATTGTGTTATGTCATGATTTATTTCTGTTTTGGCAAAATCACTTTAAAGGTTTTTAGTTGTCCTTTTTGATAATAACTCTATTATTTGGCTGCTTGTTTTACAGACATCCTCCTCCACACCCCCTAGTTGTTCATGTGTTTCTATTTGACTTTTCACTTAGTGAAACCCTATTGTTTTGCCGCCTTCTCTCCTCAACCTGGGCTGTCCTACAAACTACCCAGAATGGGGGAGCAGTGAGAATGCTTTCACAGGGGCATTCTACTCCAAACTTTCTCTCTTGCTGGTCTGCTTGATTCCTCTCAGGGACTGAACGAGATGGAAATTAACCCCATTCCTTCTGATGAGGTAGAGTAAGAGTGTCAAACTCAAATAGAAATAGGGACCACTAAGCTGTCATAGGGCTGGAATATGTATATGGGGCTAGAATGCAGCCTGTGAGCTGCATATTTATTGACTTAGGTAGCCACATATTAACATCATCTCTGTTTATTGTATTTTTATTTTGTTAAATATTTCTGAATTACATTTTAATCTGGTTCAGACCACACTTGGGAGTGTTGGTGAGCTACATGTGGCCTGTGGTCAGTATGTTTTGACATCTATGAGATAGAGAATACAAAGCCTTAACATTTGTCCACCATTGAACCCTTAAGAATTCTGGGCCTCTATCTGCTCTGCAACTGATCTTTGTTTTTTGTGTTGTCTCCTCCACTTAATACAGTGCTTAGAAAAAAGCCAGATGTTGTGCAGATCAGTGATTGATCTTTTTTTCCCCCTGTGTCTTGATAGATAATTCTAACTGTACCAATGTAGGAAAAATTTTTGAGTGTCACTTTTTGTTGTAAATTAACCGATGGTTTTTCACGTTTTTATTTTTATTAGAAAATTTATTGAAATTTCCTTGTGCTTATCTACTTTAAAATAAATTAATTTATTTTGTACTATGCTTATCAGTGAGGTTAAGTTTTTCCTTCTTTCTTTATAGACCTACTCCAGTAATTTCTTTGATTTCCCGCTATGGATTTCAGGAGCAACTGCTTTATTGTAAGTTTGGTTCAAATTGTGTTTCATTTATTAAATAGCCACTCTAAAGATTTGTGATTCTTAAATTTAAAAATTTAATATTGTCTTTCTTGCTTTATTTATAAAGCTTATTTTAGCCAACATCATTGCCTAATAAAGGAAAAAGTTTTTAAAATGCATTTTTCCCAGCACTAAAGTTATTTCTGAAGGTACACAAATGAAATTATATTCTTAGAACTCAAATTATATTAAAAAGTCTGAAAACTTAAATCTTAGTTTAATCTCTGTTTTACTTGAGGGCTTGCCCCTAAGAGTTTCATCATTAAGCTTTTTGTGATACTATAAATTTCACATAGTTTTGGATTTTACTTGCTTCCATTTGCCATTATTAGCAAAGACAGAGCCTTCTCTGTAAATTTGGGAATTCAAATATCTTTTTACTGAATTTATTAAGCATTTACATATTAAATTTACTACAGGAAAAAAAAATTTACTACAGGAATTCTTTGCAGAGAAGATTTATTTTCATTCATTTTATTTTTGTAATGTTGAAATTTTATTTCAACTAGTATTTGACTTTTATCTCTCTCTTATAACAATTTAAAAATGAAATTTAAAATGTGAAAAAATATAAAGTAAACTACAGCCTCACTAATAACTGGTCTGAGCCACAAAATAGTATACTTTACAGTTAACTACAGTAAGGTCCTAGTAATGATAACTCTGGTCACTTTAATCTGAGTCTATGATGTATTTGGGTTTTTACCAATATTCTTGATATAATTAAAAAATCACCCTAAAGCAGCAAGTATTCCAGTTGAATCAAAAATGATAAAGCCTAAGATCGCCAGGAATTTGAACTGTATATTGTGAACTGCTGGATTTCTAATTAAAAACTTATGATAATTTAAAAAAAAAAAACTTCAGTATTTTAGGGCATGGCTGTATTGCATTTAAGAAAATTCTTTTTAAAAATTCAGCTTTGATATGCAATAGAGTTTATATAGCAAGATATCTGGAAATAGTGGATAACATTGACTCGTAATAGTGCAAATAGCACCACTTGTAAATTAGTCAAGTTGGCATGAAAATTATGCATATTATAATCTGTCATTTTGTTTTGAAAATTAGAAATTATGAGAACTACCTAAATGTTTGTGGTTTAATTGCAAAGAACTCAATTTCGTATGAATTTTGCCAGAATATTGATCTTCATAACACTAGTGAAGGAACAGATTTAATATCATATAACTACCTACTTTTCAAAAAAAATTTTATTAAATAATTAGTATGATATTCAGTTTGAGAATCTGGGGAAAATTAATGTCTTAGGTTCATATACTGTGAGTAAGAAGTAACATTTTTAACTGGTGCATTGATTTCTCAGAATTTCCTTTCCTCGTGGGGAATTTTAAGTGGTGCTTTCACTCATCTGATAATACTTTTAAAAAGTATGGCAGAGTATTATAAGCTTCTCAGAATTGTTTGATTTTTAGTAATCTTATACCCCTATTGATTTTTGTGTACTTTTTTCTCCCCCAAAGCTGTGCTTGAGGAACTTGTTAATAGTGGACGTTTAAAAGGTGCAGTAGTTGGTGGGAGACAAGATAAAGCTGTTTTTGTTCCTGATATCTATTCAAGAACACAGAGCAACTGGGTGGATTCCTTTTTCAGGCAAAATGGTTATCTAGGTAACTACTTTTTTATTTATAGCATTTTCTGACCTTCCACTTTTTAATTTCTTTTTAAAACTTGATCACACATTTTAAAAGATCCAAATAGTTACATAAACAAATGAACTGAGTTATTAGATGAACAGATTTCATTGATGTCTCTCTTAGTGTGAAAATAGTCACAATAAATGCACATGATTATCTTGGTCTTATTCCTATCACTATCAAAAGTTTAAAATGCACAGCATAGTGTTTTGCTAAATAAACACCTATTTTTTTCTTTGAAGGTAGCATTGGGAAAGTACTCATTTTTTCTCATTCTTGTAGAACTACATTTTTCATAAATAGGTCATTTTCAGTATACTGTATAAGTCCCAGAAATTTGCTAATGTCTTACCTTTTTTACATTATTGATTTTTATTACTAAAGAGAGGCTTCAAAATGTTAACAGGAAAACTAAGATAATGCTTGCTGCAATAGCTATCTTATAGTGTTTGATTGATTTCACTCACTGAGAGTGATTATCTCATTTGAATTCATCTTAGAGGGTTGTTGGGAGGAGCAAATAATACATACAAAGCACTTTTCAGATTTTAAGGGACTATATAAATGTTAGCTATTATTATTAAGATTAAAAAAAGTGAGGTCCATTTATTTTGGTCTTCTTAGCAACCAAATAAAGTTGACCAAGTAACAATCAACAAGCATTTATTACCTGCCAGCTACATTACAGTCATCTCAGTTTCAGTGCTTGCTGGGTAGTTGTTCATAATTCTGTACCAAACCTAAACTGGATGTTCTTAATATTTTTTGTGCCATGGACCTCTTCTGAAAGTAATATTTTTAAAGGCATAAGATGTTACAAAGGAAACAACTTATTGAAATGTAGTCAAACAACCTCTGGCCTATTCTAAAGCAGACAGACTACTCTTTAGTTTTGTTTCCTAGACTTTGGGTTATGGAGATTACAAATCACTTTTCAGTCTCTTATGGTACAACCATGAACTTTAGATTAGAATTATACTTTGAGAGGCAGTATAGAGGAAGAATGATGATTTTGGAGTCAGAGAACATGGGTTTGAGTCCAGCCATTGATCTCTGTGTAAAATTTAGCTGTTTTGGACCTCAGTTTTTTCATCTGTAAAATGAGAGGATTGAACTAGTTCACCTAAGAATCGTTCTAGCTCAGAATATGTGTGATCCTATTATTCTGGTACATGGTAGACACTTAATGAAATGTTTGTTGTGTATTATGTTATTTTAGCTAAGGTTTATTTGTGTATGATAATTAATTTTTTGTTAGTACTAGGTACCATCACAGAATATTAGACTTCTAAGTTTTTTCAATGTTTTCATTGTAGTTTTGTTTTAGTACAAATTACATAGGTATACATTAGTGACACATGAACTTTTGAAAAACTAATTACACTTAACCTGAACACTAATTCCATTTTAATTGAGTTTAATAGGAAGTAAAATATGAGATTTATTTTGCTTAATTTGAAATTTCTCCTTAGTATAAAAAATTTGATTTACTTCTCTGTAGTTCTCATCTTTCTCTTTGAGCTCTGAATTGGTAGTGTTAGTGATTAAAGCCACAGAGCTTTAATTGAGTAAATACACGATCCTCATGTTTTACAAATATCAAGAATTTTAAAAAATGAAATAAATAAAATACGCTAAGGAATATTCTGTTACTTTTGTTACAAGTTGCCTAAAAATGAATTACACATTACTGTGTAATACCCATAGAGAGACCCAGAGAGAGAAAGGGATTAGTTCAATATCACAGAATCAGTAAGTACTGAGTCAGAATTTGAATTCTAGTTTTCTGAATATAACTGTAATGTTCTTTCCAAACTATTTTTCCTAGTTTATTTGGATCTCTACACAGTGGTGTAGAGATGCCTTCTACTGATGACAAATTGCAACTCCTCCTCATGTTTTCATTCTATCACCCATATTTTTACAAAAGTCTTCAAAAGAGTATTCTTCTCCCTTGCTAGAGTCCTTCCTCTGATTTTTCTAATATTGAGGGTACCTCTAATATTGAAGATTTCGTAGTTAATAATTTTCCTATTTTCTGTTCCACCTATAGCATCTGAACAGATTATAAGTCTGAGGTTGATTGCCCATAAACCTACTAAAAAATGTCAGAGTCTGAGATACTCAATAGAACAAAAGCTCCTTGAAATGGGGTACAGTTGGACTTCTTTATTTGCATTCCAATGCCTGGCACATAGGTGGTTAATAAGTTCTTGTTGAATGAATGACTAAAATACAGTGTGCACACGTTAACATGATAGAAAAGAACATGTTTTAAATGTAGGAAGTAGTAAGAAAAGTATATGTTATACTGCAAAATGTAAATGCTTTGAGGATCCAAAGAAGATATAACTCAACAATTTTTTACGATGCATATCTAGAATTTGATGCTTTATCCAGACTTGGGATTCCAGATGCTGTAAGCTACATAAAGAAAAGATACAAAACTACACAGCTCTTGTTTTTGAAAGCTGCTTGTGTTGGTCAAGGAATTGTAGACCAGATTGAAGCTTCAGTAGAGGAAGCCATCAGCTCTGGTTCCTGGGTGGATATTTTGGTATGTTTTCTATTATTTACATCCAATAGCAGTCTGTTATTTCTCTTTAATGTTTAACCATTTTATATGCTTAATAATTTAATTCACATAATCCAGACAGTATGCCTGGGCAAGTCATTTAGCCTCTCAATATCTCAGGCAACTCTTTAAAACTAAATCATAAGCAAGTTGCCAGTGTGCATCAGTAGCAAGAGTTGATGTACAGGAGAGTTTCCCACACTGATGAAATCAATGATGCAAACAAAAGGGGGGAAAAACATACTTGGGCATTGTGAGAGTTTTTTTCTACTAAGATTACTGTAATTGCTGTAAGAAACAGTTTTATCTTCTGTCTTTTAGTTTTTAAAGTATTATGCTTGGGTAAGTTTTGATCCTTGGGTCTGTCCTCCTGCTTCACTGATTTGAGACCTAGGTTTTCCACCCGTACCTAATCTCCCAGTCAGTCATTCATTCACTAGCCTGACAGTTTTCTCATCTCACTCTTGCCTCTCACACTGCCTCTACTTTCTCACTTCCCACTCCTTAATCTCTTACCATCTCTCTTCTCTTCAGTTGCCAACAAATATTGCTAAAACCATTTCACAGATCTCATTCTTCTGTACCTCTCTGCAGCACTGTTGACTGTTTCCTTCTCTCCTCCTGGATTTTTTATCCTCCATTGATTTTTCTGATATCCTGTTTTAGTTCTCCTACTGTTCTGACTGTTGCTTTTCACTCTCCTGTGTCGTCATTATTTTCATCCTCTCCCATTTGTTAAGCATCGGTGTTCCCCAAAACTTTTTCCTGGGCCCTCCTTTCTTTCTTCACTCTCTTGGTGAGCTCTACTCGCGTACATATTCTTGCGTGCATGAACATAGACATTTCTCTTTTGAACTCCAGGTAACCTCCTGCTAAATACAGCCATGTGGATGCCCTATCAGCATCTCAAAAAACCTACTCCTTATCTGCTGACTTCCTTTTGCTATTGAAGGTAGCACCATTCTTCCAACCTTGTAGATTCCTGACCTCAGAGTAATCCTCAACTCTTCTCACCTTCATATTTGTTCACTTGCCAAACCTTATTGATTTTCCTTACACATAATTACTTCGTGTATCTCCCTTACATTCCTTTCCTTACACTCACTGTGCCACATCTCTGTTTCAGACCCCTCATCACTTTTTGCTTGGACTGCTGTCATAGCTGCTTAATTGTCTGTTCTTTCTCTAATCCATCCTCCACATAATTGCTACACTAATTCCTAAAATAGAGGTTTGATCATGTCACTCCAATTCTCAAAAGCCTTCAGTGCATCCCAGGATAAAATATAAATTCATCATTTAAAGCACTCCACAGTCTGGACTTATTTCACATTACTCCTCTTCATGCAATTTATTTTCTGGTCCAGTTGGCTGACTGATTGTTCCTGAAACTCATATACCATCTCTGTCTTTATGCTTTTGTATTTAGTCTGTCCCCCATACCTAGAATGTACTGTCTTCTGAATTCTCTAGCTTCCTTTAACACTTAGTACTATCTCCAATTCAAAGCCTTTCTTGTACTCTTCATCCATCCAGTTATTAGTACCTTTTCTTTTGTGAAATTATTTGTATTTACATATATGCATTATACCTATTGTATCACCTTAGGTAGAATTAGGAAGCTTTCAGAGGACAGAGACTTTTTGCTTTTTGTCACTTTTCCCCTCCATACCTAGTACAGCAGTTTGCATATAGTAGGTGCTTAATAAATGTTTGAACTGGAAATCTCTCTCTCTACATATGTAATATTAGTTTTGTTTGTTATTTTAGCCACTACTGCCCAGTTCTTTATCAGTAGAAGATGCTGGAATGTTGCTTCAGCAGGTGATGAGAACATTCAACAAACAGCCATCAGCTGTAGTCTTTAATGATACTGTCGTAGTAAGTGAAAAGTTTATAAATAGCTGTGCGGAGTTGTTCAGTGATTTGATGCATCAGAAAGCTGAAAAGGTACGCCATTTTTTTCTATCTTACACCAAAATTAAAACATTTTAAATATTTGATCCTGTTTTTGTTTTTGAGAGAGAAGTGGCAATGTAGCCAAAGAGGTGAATATTATAGTATTTACATGGTCAGTTTATATTTAAATGCACATTCCTTTTAGTTTATTCCTTGGGGTTTGTCTCTCAATCTGTTTCTCTTTGAATATCTACCCTCTGTTTCCCAGTGTTTGACTGTTTAGAGTCTTCTCTTGTACCCTTGAGGTACAGATATAAATTTTAAAAATTTGAATGCACGAAAGTTATTTAAAGTATTTGAAGCAGTTTGGATTTGAATAAGAATTTCCATATGATACATAATTTCTCTGCAGCATATTCTCTGTATTCTATGTACACATAAATATTTTATATAGTAAAGTGTTATTAATTAAATTTACGTGTGGGGAAGGCAATTCTAAATTATTGAGAAGACAGAATTGTGAAACTTTGTTTTAAAATAGCTTCTTGAGGGTAGGGATTGTTTTGCCTCTTTCCTGTATCCCCAGTGCTTAGTATAGTGTGTGGCACATTGTAGGCACTTCATAAATGTTTATTGATTGATTAAAATACAATTTTGTTATTACCATGAACATGCTGGACTAGGAATAAGGAGAAAGCTGGGCTCGCTTCCTACATCTTCCCATTCTGCTTGCTCTTCAGCATGTAACTATGGGCAAGTCACTTAATTTCTCAGTTCTTCAGTTTCTTTATCAGTAGGATAGTTAAAGTAACTGAACTACTTGAAGTACTGCCTCATAGAATTGTTGTGTGGAACAGATTATACATGTGCACACATTTTAATAAACTATACACAAAACACTTTAATACATTGTGTACATTTGTTTATTATTGTTGTTGTTAATATTATAATGGAAATACTACTGTCAATTTTTTTTTCCAAGTAGAAATCATCTAGTTCTGCTTTAATAAATACTACTTTTAATAAATAATAAATAAGGATTTAATTGCTTTAGAGAACTCCTAGATAAGGAAACTCTCTTTGCTATTTCAGGTTGGCACCCTGTCTACAAATTATATTATTAGAGAGTTTTAAGAAATATTTGTATTTAATTAGGAGTCCTGAACAATGTCTGCTAGGAAAAATTTTGCTAGCATTGAATGTAATAGAGGCTTTAAAGTTTGTTTTCTTAGAAAAAGTAGCCATACTTATATACTTACCCTACATGAATGAAGCAGTTTGTTTTATTTTGTGGGTTTTTTTTTTTAATTTAACATTTCTGCCCAGAAGATTGGAGCTTCTTCATCTTTTTTTATTGGAATTATATTAGATAATAGTTCTAGTAGTTCTGTACATTTGATATAACCATTGACTTTTCTAGTAATAAGATTAGAAAATAACAGGTATTGATTATACTTACTTGCTGTGTCTTAATATTTCAGACATGCATCCTTAGAAGAGCACTAAGGGATGAGAAGCAAATGAATGACAAATATATTCCTTGTAGAAAACTTGCCCATCTTACTTTTGTTACTGGAAGGGGGAAAATTGTTAGGGAGCTTGGATTAATTCTTTCTAATATACTCAACAACTATTAATCACAAAAAATGGTTCTGAGGAAATTAACCATAAAATAAGTTAATACGACAGCTTCCAGTTTGCTTATTTTTATGAATACAGATGTATGAGTGCTGTGGTTATTTGGAGTCAGCCTTCTGGAAACCTCAGGTATCCAGAATGGTGAATGAGTGAAAAAGAGTGCCTCCTTAAATAAGCAACCTTTCAAGCACTGGTGAAAAGAGTTAGGAAACTCCCAAATGACATCTAATGTAATATGATTTGTTGTTTCACTTCCCAGAGGTAATTCATGTTACCTGATGATGGCAAGAAAAGCCAAGCTTATTGGCATAGAAGCCAAAAACACAGGAAAAGTTAAAACAGCAACAAAAAAAGAAAAATAAAGAGGAGATACAGAGAAGGATGGAATGGTATTAGACATTAGAAGCAGTGGTGGGCGTGTCCAGTAACAAAGAACTCTAAGAAAGTTATATCACACCTGAAGTCCAGAACAATTCCCTTTTTCTTCTGGCATTGGAAAATAGATCTTAAATTAACAAATAAGTAGGATTTAATTATGTAACCAAAGATCATTTTGTTTTGTATTAGCAGACATATAATGATATACTGAAAGTCAGCTCCTTTTTTCCCTCAGGAAATGAAAAGTAATCCTGTTCATGTAATCACTGAAGAAGATTTGAAACAGTCCCCTATCCTGGAAAGTGTTAGTTCAAGTAAAAAAGATAAAAAAGATGAACGACGAAGAAAAGCAACAGGTAGCTTATTAGTATTGACAGCTTAGAGATATTTTTAACCCATTTTATAAAATCTGCTTTGTAAAGGTTGAACTTACATATTATGCCCATTGAAAGTTAAACAAGTTAGAAGATTTATACTTCTTAAGTTTTAATTTTGACTGCTTAACCAGTTTGGGTACTGATACATGTTTCACTTGATTTTTCAAATCTCCAACTTATGCTCTGAAAGTACTAGGGTCTTGTTAACATGGAAGCTAAGGCATTTAGGTTGAGAATTAAGAACTCATGTTTCTAGAACATGATTGATAATCAAGGTTTGAATTGGTGAACTTGTCCAACAGGATGACTTGAATTTTTAATGCTAATATGTAAATGCCTTCTCTTAATTTTAAAGCATCTCTTACTTCAAAGTCAATTGGTTTCCCTATAAGATAGACCAGGTCTCTTTTAAAGGATGTTTTTACTTTAGAATTAGTGGAAATTATCTTTTTTGTTGGTAGTGCTGCTAATTATCATTGGAAAATAACAGACCTGTAAGTATTTTCTTAATAGCTAAAAGTACAATGTTCAAAACCGTTAGATATAGTCTCAGATTAGAACAATCAGGATTTCAGGACATTCATAGCTACGGTATTTGGACATAGACATGTAAAAATCTTTTTTTTATTTAAAGTTGTTTGCATACCTCTTCGGTTTTTGCTATCCAATTTATATTTCTCTCCTTTGTTCTGCCAAACACCACAGTACTTTTAAATCTGTTTTTCTCTGCTACTTTGGGGAAATTGCATTGAGGATATACTACTCACAATAGTAAAGCATCATATTGTTTAAAAGTCATGGCTTTCTTCTGTTCTATTTTAAAGGGATGATACTTCTGTAAATTGAACATAATAAATTTGTCCGTCAGCTTATCAGTGTAACTAATCTATTATATTCCTTTGCAATAATTAAAGGAATCCTTTGGGTATGGTTCCTTTCAGTGACAATGCTGTTGTACTGTTTTATGCAGTTGAATATTATCCCTTAACATCCCTCAAATTGAAAAAGATTTCATGCATGAAAGCTGTCCTAAATAAGGACCCAGTTATTAACAAATTTAAAATCACATTCCTTTTAGTACTGTGCTTTGGAAGATAAAGTCTTTTTTTCATCCTAACAGTCAAGAGAGAGAAAATAAAGTTAGTAATACCTTAAATACTGTAAGAATTAATAGAATTCTACTTAGAATTTTGAAAATAGAGAGTGTAGTTTTTATGTAAATTACTGTGTTTTAAAAGACAAACATTGTGATATAAAGATGGCTATATTTTAAACATAATTAGGTAATGGATTCTAGGAAAGTGCTCTTGTTTTTTGTTTTTTAAAGACTTTTTCTAAAAACTTTAAAAATTAAGTATCATTTCCAGGTAACATTAAATAGAAACATCAGCTATTCACTATGTGGCTTTTACTTCTAGTACTCTAAATTCTAAGTGGTTTAGTGAGCTATATTTGCCAAATTTTTGTTTAGGCAGAAAGGCATTGGAAAATAGATCTTAATAGATCAAATGCCTCAATGCATTTGCTGCCTACCTGAGAAATCTTGTTTCACAAGTCTGTTGTTTTTCAGATTTTCTCAGTTTCACATTTTTATAAAGTTTAGTTTATTTCTGAGATAGGAGCTAAAATCACTTTTTATAAGAAATTATTTTTTCTTTTAAATATATATCTAACAAAATCCCTACCTCTGGTTGGTTACATGTTTATAATCTTATTAAGAAAGTCCCAAGAAGTTTGAAAAAGGCAAAGAAGACAAATACACAAGTAAAACATTGCTTTTGATTCTGTCTGACATAAACCTGGGCCATGTAACAGTATATTATCACTTTTTCCTCTGTGTGGTACTTTGGATGGGCTGTACTAAATAATGTTATTTTCCACCAGAGGGCAGTGGAAGTGTGAGAGGAGGTGGTGGTGGAAATGCCAGAGAAATCAAAATTAAAAAGACCAAGAAGAAAGGAAGGAAAGATGATGATAGTGATGATGAGACTCAGTCAGCAAACACTGGTTTGTGGAATTTTTATTTTATTCAGTGTTCTATAGGTTTTTCTTTGAGTATATGCTTACTCAAGTATTAAGAAATTATAAAATTTTAAGATTTGGATTCTTGAAAAACACAAAAGAAAAATACAATATACTTCAGCATTTTTATTGTACTACTTAAGTCTGTATCTGAGTGTGACAAATGTGTGTTTGGTTTTATGGACTGATTAGTTTTTGGTTTTGAACTTTACAAAAAAGCTGTTTTGAAATTCAATTTTAAATAAGAATTTTCTGCTCTTGAGTTTAAGTTAATATATTAAGTTAACAAGCTACTGAAACTTTGTGTCCTCCTTAATGGATGAAAATGTAAGATAATTTATTATTTTAATTTGGATTTCAACTGAATTCCATGTAAATTTCAAAATTCACACATACTGAACTGTGACATCCTAAACAAGTCACATAACCTCTCAGAATTTGATTTCGAAGACCATGAAATCTAGAAGGTATTAGAATCCCCAGCCCCCCCCACCCCCAGTAATTCAAAACCCTTAAGAAATTTCATGACCAGAACAAATAAATGTATATTGTACCACTGTCACATCTGGTTACAAAGAAAGCTACAAAAATGCTATTCGCTCCACATTGTTGGCTGTCTTGTCACTAATTTCTAGAGGAGAAATTTTAGGAGAGTTAATCATTCAAATGATTTTTAATATTTATTCCTTTTCTTTAGTGACTATTAGTCAATTTTGTTGACATGAGATTTTGTATTACTGTCTTTGTTCTCGGCAGATAAAATGAGTTTTCATGTTTTACTGGGTTATATTGTTTTTAAAAACTGTTATTGTCTCTCATAGGTAGGAAAAAACCTGAAATCACATTCATGTCGCTAGAGGAAATTGAAGATGTTTTAAAGAAGCACATACAGGATGGCCCTGAAGAATTTGTTACAGAACTTGCTGAACATTTAATAAGGCAAGTGTAGAAATATACTTTGGATTCTTAATTTTTAGCCCTCAAAATAACATTCTGAATAAAATTCGCTAATTATTGTTAACATTAGGAAAAAGAATTTAGTCCAAAGTTTGGACATTAGAGCTCAGAATTTAAAATATAAATCAGTTTTTCATGTTTTGCTTTCCTACTGATTCGATGAGTTTCTTTTCTCTTATATTCCAATACTTCAGTGGATCCACAGTATCACAGAATTTCAGAGATGGAAGGGACCTTTTAGGTCATTTAGGCTAACTCATACCCAAAACAGAATTATTACCGTATAGGCAACAAACTGACAGCCAACTTCAATTTAGAGACTTCCAATGAGGCCTTTCCAAAACAGCCCATTCCACTTTTGGGTAACTGATTGTAAGGACATTTTTCCTTACCTCAAGCTTACATTTGCCTCTTTGCAACTTCTACTTATTGCTCCTAGCTGCATTCTTTTGGCCCAAACAGAATAAGTCTAATCTTTCCTTCAAGTAAAAGCTCACATGCTTCAATCCTTGAATTTTCTCCAATGTAAACATTCTCATTTTTTTTCAGCTGATCTTCATCTGTCATGTACTTAAAGCCCTTCACCATTCTAGTTACTCTCCAGCTCACGAAGTCCTTTCTAAATTCTTGCACTCACAACTGAATACACCACTCCAGTTGTAGTCTGGGGGCAAACTACAGTGCCGCTGTTATTTCTGTAAACTCTAAGTGCAGCCCAAGGTCATATTGAGCCTTGTTGGCTACCATATCAGTCCATCAGTAAACATTTATTAAGTGCTTACCGTGTGCCAGGCACTGTGCTAAGCTCTGGAGATACAAGAAGAGGCAAAAACACAGTCCCTGCCCTCAAGGAACTTACCGACTAATGGGGGAGACAACATGCAAGCTATATACAGGATAAATAGGAAATAATTAAAAGAAGGCACTAGAATTAAGAGGTATTGGGCAGGGCTTCCTGTAGTCCAGATTTGTGTCATCTGAAAATACCAAGTCATTGATCAAAATGTTAACCAGTATAGAGCAAATGACAAATCCCTCAGGCAAAACACTGGATACCTGTGTTGACATTAAACCATTAATGATTATTCTCCAACCCCGACCATTCAATCAGTTGGATCTATTTAATTTTACTAATGCCTAACTTACAAATGGACATGTGGTAGCCATTTCTTTGCTAAAGGTTAGTGTGAGCTACTTTATCAAACACCGCTAAAATCCAGGTAAACTATCATTAACATTTACCTGATCTTCTAATTTTGTAACTCTGTCGAAAGGTCAGTAAGACTAGTCTGTCATCTGAAATCATACCGTCTTGTGATCACTGATTCTTTTTCTAAATGTTTGCTAATTAGTAAATGGAAAGCCAAGCTTAGTGTCCTATAGACTATATTTTATCTATTTCCTATAAACTGTATTTTCCTTCCTTTAAAAAAAAAATCAAACGACCATTTGATTTTCTCTAGTCTTGCTTTGTTCTGTTCAATTCTCTTCAGTCTTTCAGATATCACTGACCTTGAGCAACTTAGCACTGATGCCTGCCCTTTCTCTGCCACAGGGCACAGTTTGTTTTGGCTGGTGTTCTTACTGTCTATTCATCAATTCTGTTAGCCATTCTAATTCTCTTTTTTCCAATCCAAAAGCTGTTCTTCGTAGCAGAGAAAGCAGAAGCAAAGTAAGAGCTTTGCTTCATTGACATTTTTCCTGAGGAGTGGTTCTGTTCTGTCTCTGACCTTCCTCCCAATACAGCTTTTAAAAACAACCCTTATTAAAACCATCATCCTTACAGAACTATACCGTAGGAAGTTTTCTTAGCTATTGCATAGAAAGAATACCACACTTGGCTCAGGTAAGATGCAACCCCCTTATCCCCATGTGACTATGCATCCGGTTAGTAGGTCGGGGTTTAGGGACCCATGGAGCCATCTCCCAAATCTGAAGAGCATCACTCTCATGAGTGGGCCATTTGATGACCAGGAAGCCCTATCTTGGTGGCCTGAGGCCACAAAGAAGTTCCACATTAACTGTGTGGCTTAAACTTCAGCTCCTTGGGCTTAGGGATAGCTTCCTTGCTTTTTAGGTAAAGAACTAGCCTGGTAGATACTGATTCTTTCTTAAGGTTACTCCCTTCAGACAACTCCTGTTTTTCTTCCTCGTCTGAATCATTTCCACTTTTGTGTTCAGGATTTCATTCATGAGTATCCCATCCTTCCTGAGCTCACTTTCTTTGTAGAATTTTAATCAGAAAGATACCTGTCCTTTCTCTGAACCTTTTGAAATATGCTCTCCCCAAATTTAGGGTGCATGTCATACTGTTGTCAGTTTTATTCTCTTATCAGATCCTAGGAGAAATGATTAATGTCCTCCAAGGTTTCCATCATTTCCACCCCAGCAACCAGTTTCTCCCTGTTAGTGAGAATCAGATCCAGAAGAAAATTTGCCTTTTTTGTTTCCTCCACTTTTCCCAGAGGACACTCTTAAGTCTTAAGTCATAAGTCAAAACTTTTTTTTTTAGCTTTGATTTTGATAGAGTACTTTAGCAGCTGTCTGGATGATTTAAGTCCTCTATGCCTAATATGTCATTTTTCTGTGCCAAATATAGTAGCACTTAGTTTCCTGAAGTCTTCATCTCTCTTTTTTCTGTCCAGGTGGCCTTTACTATACTTCAATGAAAAAATCACTTCTGTTTTCCTCCCTAATGATGTTTTCCTGTGGTCCAGTGCTACCCTCTCCACCCTAAACATATCTTTAAGAAAAAATTAGAGAATACCTATTTAGTATTCTGTTTATAGCTCTCATTCCACTAAATCTCAATGATACCTGTGAAGTCCAATTTGCTTCCTTGCATTTAGACCTCTAATTCTATTTGTTTGGGCCTAAACTGTGATTTTGTGTATAGACATTTGATCTCTTGGGTTTTTTTTTCCCCTTTTTGTTTTGTTTTTTTACTAGCTCCTCTTAACTTGGATTTTGCCTCCTGTGAATTTCTGGGCATCTCAACTGTTATTCTTTTTCCTTCATTATGGTGACTCTGTAGTATCTAACCTGGTGGATATGGGAAATTTTCTCCCTCCATTCTTTTCAGCTGAATGTTTTTTACTAGATTTGCAAGATAGGAAGCAAATATGTTACTACCAGTCTTTGTTAGGTATACATTATTCCTGGCCAAGGAATTATCAATCTTGTATTTTAAGTTCAGAAATGCAACTCCTAGTCCCTAAGACCATCACGTTAGTCTTTTGGTCACTACTTCAAATCCACTCTTCTGAATAATTTGCATCTAATGGGCAGCAGTGATTGAAACACCACCTGTGACCCTATGATCTTCAGTTTCTTGCTCAAGACTTCTTGGTTTTCTAGGTTCCTTCTTGCAATATTATTTATGCCCACAAAAATTACCAAAAGTGGGCAATGATTAGCCTTTTAGATAAGTCTTGGGAGTTTCTCAGTTATGTCTTGGATACATACCCTGAGAAGACAACATATATTTTTTTTGCTGTCAGGTTGAAAATTTCTGCCCCACTACCTGTGACTTGGAGTAATCAACAACCATTACCTTTGTTTTTCTCTCTGATTCTTAATTAATGATTTCTTTTTTTTTTCTTTTTTTTTCTTTTTTGGTGAGGCAATTGGGGTTAAGTCAGTTGCCCAAGGTCACAAAGTTAGCAAGTGTCAAAATGTCTGAGGCTGGATTTGAACTCAGGTCCTCCTTACTTCAAGGCCATAGCTCTATCCACTGTGTCACCAGCTGCCCCAATTAATGATGTCTTACCCAAAAAAGCACTTGCAAATCTACTTTATCATTTCTTGGAGAAGTACCTGCTTCTGACTCAGAGATCCAGCTCCTTCTCAGATTTATTTGAAGGAGGAAAGAACCTCACTTTAAAAAAAAAAATTTTTTAAGATCCAAGTAGATGATAATCCTTGTTCTCATCCTTCTGTGTGACATTATTTTACTGTCCAACCTCCTGACATAGGTCAAGTTTCTCTCTCTTGCTTATTTAGATTCTTTTTCTACTTTATTTCTTTGAATTTTGAAGTCCCTTTGTTAATCTTTTTTTAAAAAATGTTTGATGATAATGTGGAAGGTAGTAAGGCATTCCTCAAACCCCTTATCTCTTCCTCTAGAAGGGAAATGAGCCTATATTTTGAATACGGATGGCAGGCACATAGCTGTGACAAATATAAAACCATATACTTGGTGCAAGTCACTGCAGATTTCTTCTGCTTTCATCGTGGTTGATATACTCAGTCTTTCTTTTTCACACTTCTTTTGGGTTTTTATAGCTCGCCCCCTAAGCTCCTTTATCACATCTTAAGAACCTGTTATCCATATTCACTGCCTTTCCCATCACTCATTAATCTTTTATTTTGTCTTACTAATGTTTACTTAACTTTTCTAACTTACCTTCCCTACCATTTCCTTGGGGCAGTTAGGTGGTATAGTGGATAGAGTGCTGGACCTGTAGTCAGAAGGAGCAAAGTTCAAATCTGACCTCAGACACTTAGTAGCTGTGTGACCCTGGGCAAGTCACTTAACATTGTTTGCCTCAATTTCCTCATCTGTAAAATGAGCTGGAGTAGGAAATGGCAAACCACTCTAATATCTTTGCCAAGAAAACCCCAAATGGAGTCATGAAGAGTTGGATACAACTGAAATGACTGAACAACCATCTCCCTGAGTCCTTTTCGTATCCTTTCTCTCCAAGCCTGTTCTTGTTTCAGCTTGAATCCTCCTTTAGACTTAGTCCCTTCCCTTGTTTAACTTGTTCTTCTACTTGTTTGCTCAACTTGAGTACTCCTTTCAGCAGTTCAGGTCATAATCCATCCACACCTGCCTTTTTGCTCTCAGCAAAGCTTAGCTATACACTATAAACTCACCACTTAGAGGTCTTTCCTTGCTTTTTCTTGACATTATGTGAATACCACTGGAGCACTCAGGCTGAACTATGTTCAAAATAATCTGTCAGGGTAAATTCAACTACATTTAATTGTGCTAGGTAAATATATTTTTTTTATCCACAGATACCTCAATAGAAGTTATCTGGAAGTGGTACGTTCAGTTTTTATGTCTTCAACTTCTTCTGCATCTGGAGCTAGTAGGAAACGTACCATCAAAGATTTACAAGAGGAGGTGTCAAATCTATACAACAATATTAGATTATTTGAAAAAGGAACAAAGTTTTTTACAGGTACATTTAATATTGTCTTTAATTTAATTCTCATTATTTCTTTTGGAAGCTATGTTCAGTAAATATCATGTTTTACAGATGATGCACAAACTAACCTTGCCAAGCACTTGCTGAAGACTGTTTGTACAGATATCACTAATCTAATTTTCAACTTCTTAGCTGCTGACTTAATGATGGCAGTAGAAGATCCTACTACCATAACAAGTGAGGTATGTTAGTCTTTTTTTTTTTCCAGGCAATTGGGGTTAAGTGACTTGCCCAGGATCACACAGCTAGTAAGTGTGTTAAGTGTTTGGTCTGAGGCCGGATTTGAACTCAGGTCTTCCTGATTTCAGGGCTGGTGCTCTATCCACTGCGCCACCTAGCTGCCCCTGCCCCAAGGTATATTAGTCTTTCTGCTACTCCAGGAGTATAGTGTATAGGAAATTATTTGGGGGTGATATATGCTGATTTTTTTTTTTACATTAACCAAAGATTACCATCATGCTTTTTCCATCTATTAATAATAATAACTATGAATTTGGGGTTACATATTTTTTATTTCATATCTAAAACATATCCTAACCTGTTGTTTTCCCTCTAGGTAAGAAAAAAGATTTTAGTAAAACTTTCAGAAGAGACTAAAGGTCCTCTCACAAAGCTCCATAACTCTCTGAATGAAAAAGTAAGTGAAGTTTAAAGCTATTAGTATTCTGGGCCTAGAAGTCTTTGTTGACATTAAATTAGTATGATGGTACTTTATAAATATTTTTTAATATTATTATTATAAGACTCTATATAACCACGAACTGACTGAACTATTTTAATATGTTAAAATCATTTCTGACATTTAAGCAGCTTAAAAGAGACAAAGAGATAGATATAGTGATAAGTTTTAAACCTAAGCCTTAGGCCAAGTTTCTGATTTAACCAAAAGTTAAAAACAATCCAGGTTTTTAAAAATAATAATAAATTATGCTTTCCAACTTCTTTGTTCTTATGTATTTATTTCTCTAATAATGTACATTAATGTGTGGTATTGTGTGCCTTTCTTTAGAGCTTAGAAGACTTTCTTTCTTTTCTGGACTCTGCAGCAGATGCTTGTGATATTATGGTGAAAAAGGGAGACAAGAAAAAAGAAAGGTATAACCTAATTCATCCATCCCTGGTGAACATTTCTCTAACTGTGCCTCTTAGGATGAGAATGATATGAGCTGAGAGAAAGCCTGACTTGCCCTTAATTAACTTGATCATTGTCATAGTTAAAGCCTAATACTCTTATGATACCCATATACTTTTCATGCACTTTATTAAGTGCAATAATCTATAGTCAATAAAGCCCAGAAATCTTTCTGTCCTGATGTACAGTTTTCTTTATCTACTTTCTAGAATGGTTTTTGGCATCTTAGTCTCTTTATTCATATGAGATTTCCCCCCCTTAGTTAAATGTTACAGGATTAAGTTGTTTAAGCAACTAAAGAACTAAAAATTAAAGCCAAAGGAAGCACACATTTTAATTGGCTATCAATAAAACCTTTCAGTGCAAAGCAAATAAAGCTTTATTTTGTTGTTGTTCAGTCATTTCAATCATGTCTGTTTCTTCATGACTCCATTTGGGGTGCATCTTGGCAAAGATACTGGTGTGGTTTGCAATTTTACAGGTGAAGAAACTGAGGCAAATTGGATTAAGTGACTTGCCCAAGATCATACTGTTTTGAAGGGTGAAAGATGAAATGACTGAGGAAAACAAAGGTTTGATCTGAGTATATCAGTTTATAAAGCAGTGCTAGACAATTTCCTATTAAAGTGGGAACAGACTTCCTCAGCTTGGGCCTAGACCCTGAATACAAGGAGAGACAAACTTTTATATCTTAAAAACAATTAAATAAGGCCAATTATTGAAAAGGAAACACAATACAACATAAGGTAATCTGATTTCTAATTGGATGAAAGATTAGGGACTTTACAGATTGGGAAGGGAAGAGTAAACAGGTACAATTCCCTGATTTCAGAAAAGGAGTGTTCTACTTCCCAAGTATCTGTAAACAGTCAAAGGAACATGGAAACAATAACTGGTCAATCAGTATAGGACTAGTTTTCAGATAAGATGTATGGGTTGCTTGAGATGTACAATTTTGAGAAAACTCCTTGTATCAATCTTTGGATCTGACTGAGTTTCTGGTCAACAAAGCCTAGGTCCTTGGAAAAGGGTCTCTAATCAGCCAGGAGAGGTAGTCCAGCTTCCCAGCCACTCAGGGTTAGTTCAAACAATGCAATAAAGTTTTCTCACAGGATAGAATTGAATAGAAATGGAACTAAGCTAGCTTCAGAATTGAGTCACAAGATAGAATCAGTGTGGTTCACTCAGTTCCCACAGTTAACAGCATGTTGTCTCAATCCCCTGAAAAACTAGTAAGTGTCTGAGGCCAAATTTGAACTCGGGTCCTCCTGACTCTAGGTACTCTATACACTGTGCCATGTAGCTGTCCCCAAGCTTTATTTTACATATGAGAAAATATGGTAGTATAACTAGTATTTTTTTTTCCTTAGGCAGGTGCTATTCCAACACAGACAAGCACTGATTGAACAGCTGAAAGTTACAGAAGACCCAGCTCTTATCCTACACCTTACCTCAGTTCTGTTGTTTCAATTCTCAACTCATTGTATGTTACATGCACCTGGACGATGTGTACCACAAATCATTGCTTTTCTTAGCAATAAAATGCCAGAGGTAGGTATTCATTTTAGTGTATTTAAAATTTTATTTCACAGTTTTCAGATCTGAACTAATTTATTGAGTGATTTGCCCTATATGTCAAACATATATATTATTAACATATCTTTGCCTATTTCAGCATTTCTGAGAATATCTTTAGTAATTGTACAAGTTTATTTTAAAAATAGATTTTAGCTGCTTATTTCCTTTTCTGGCAATCACTTTTGTCAACTTCCCTTCTCTTCCCCACTTAGGATCAACATTCTCTTCTGGTCAGATACCAAGGCCTAGTTGTGAAGCAGCTGGTTAATCAGAATAAAAAAACTGGACAAGGAGATGACCAGTTGATTAACCAAGTAGACAAAGAGCATGAAGATGCTAATAATGCCATTCGAAGGGAACTTCAAGAAATTTCCACCTCTATCAAGGACCTTGTCCTCAAATCCAGAAAATCTTCTGTAACAGAGGAGTAATGTAATTTAATTTGAATTTTTTTGTATAGTCAGTTAATTTTTTAAAGAAATGGTTACAAAACACTTCTCAGTTGAGTGTTTCAGCATTGCCTTCTGCAACTACTTCTTTTTCTAGAAGCTGTGTGAAATCTCTCCTACCAGCATACATGTTTTTATTCCAGTCTTCTGGTTATGAGATGTCCTTGTTTTTGAAATGTGTTATCCAAAGAAAATTTCTCTTCTAGCATTATAACTAGCAGTATGATTTGCAAGTTTATCATTGTCTTTTCAAATTCTAACTGAATAATCCCTTTTCTTTTGTCTTTTGTTCCTTGTAAAGTCATAATGCTAGATTACAAGTGACATTTACAGCTTCCAGTCATTGTAAGTAGTATATGCAAACTTAAAATGTGTTCTTTTTATGATAGGTTTTTGTTGTTGTTGTTGGGGGCCAGGTTTAAGCTTTTTGTTGTCAGCAATGGGGATTTTCTAGTATTATCATTATTTGATTTAAAATTAATAGAGGATGTCTCAGATCCAAAAGCCAAAAATACTCTGCTAGATTTTGATTGCATTTTTTTAGGCCAGTGTGTTTGTTTCTGACAATTCTCATAATGTGTCTCTCCCATGAATGAAAACTTGAATGTATGCAGAAATAGTAGAGGTGCCCTTGTACTCCTTGCTTTGTTCTGTCCTCAAAGGCAAGCTGCTGCCTACAGGGTGGAGAGGAGTAGAGAAAGAGCAAGGAGGAGCGAGAGGCACAGTCAGTGTTGGTACATTCTGGTCACTAGTCTCAGTTGTTCCCATTGTAGTCTTGGTGTCATTTAAACTGTTACTATAAAAATCAATACAAGTTTTTTAAAAACCAAATTGGTGCAGTTTGTAGCCACAAATTTCATTTCAAATACTTGGAAGAAGTGTAACTTTTCTTACATTAGAGCTTACTATGTAGTCTAATAGTTGTGTGAATCATTCAAATTTGCCCCACAATTTGCTGAGCAGCTCTGTCATGGTAGAGAATTGGAAGGGATATCTGTTTATGTATATTTTCCTCAAGGGAATTTAATCATTTTGACTACTTTATGGGATTTAATGGTAAAATTCAGTCATAAACCACAGATACTTTAGTGTTTTCCAATCAGCCTGATTTCATCTGTTATACAATGTTATGAAAACAATGGCTTGGCTTTCTTTTACTCCATCTTAACTGAATTATTGTTGAGGTAAAAGGCAGTTGGTAGAGTTACTGACAGAGCCTATAGACTTACAATCTATTGATGCATTGAATAAAAACTCTAATTCACGATAAGGGATATTTTCATATGACTGATAGAAAAATACCAACTCCTCTTGCTCACAGACATTATATATTCATTTATATTTTGGTTTACTCAGCTTCAAAAATATTTTGTTTTAAATTGTATAATGGTGACAAAAAATAATCTTGCCAAATAAGCATATAAGTGCATCTGTGAGTATCAAGTGATGCAGTTATTGTCACTGACAAAGTAAAAGAGTTAGAAGAAGCAAAAGGTAAGAATAAAATTTTACTGCCTAAACTTTGTTCATATTCAACCTGTGGTCTCAACTTGCATCAGAATAGTTCTGATCTTCCCCAAAATAAATAAAAATGTCATTTTTATTACATTGATCTGGTTTTTGTAAATAAAATCTGACATTATGTATGCAGATATAATTATTTTAATAAAATTGGAAGGATTAAATGTCTAATTTGTCTCTTGCTGTGAGCTAGGAATTTATGGCCTTTAAGTTTTTAAACGGTAATTTCTATTTGGTTCTGCCTATTTTGCTTTTCAGTGCTTGAATTATTTTACTTAGCACTGAGTCAGAATGATTAAGAGTTTATTAGTTATAAATAATACATTAGAATTTTTAAATTATATTTGCATTCTGAAAATGATTAAATCATTTTTAAAGAGTTTAACAGGAGACTAATACTCTGTCAATGACAGCCATTTTATATACACTTTTATAAGTCATAATAGTTCTTTTCAGCTTAGCAGACCACATCCAGATAACTCAGACCCAGAGTGTATTCCAAATGGTTGGAAAGATTTGTTGCTACCTTTTAATATCATAGTTAACAGAGAAAAAGTCTATAAAATGTCTATTGAACTTTTTCTTCATTTGATTTTGACCCATTTGCTTTTTTAAAAATTTAATTTGATGTTAAAACTAATTTTCATTTATTAATGCTCAATTCTAATTTAAACAACTTTGAGACAAGAAACTTTACATATTTGTGGAAAAGAGTAATTTCAGAGAAGCAAAAGAGACTACTCAAGTAAAGAACAAATGTAGAATTCATCTTTTTTCTTATAAATTTGAATCAGTTCCTTTTAGAGTTAGGAAATGAGACTTTCAGGTAAACTTGCAAAGATTTTCCTCCCTTTTGAGCAAAACCTCTTTAAATTTTATGTGAGCATTTTTATTCTTTGTCTGATTATGAACTTTTATCCTAGCCAGAGATCTAATACATAATTTTTCCCATATTTTGTACCCAGTGCCACATCTCAAACTATACTACACAACATTAGGATATTAAACAATTTGGTACACAACATATAAATTCTTGGGATAAAGACTCACTACTTGACAAAAACTATTAAGAAAATCAGAAGTTTGAAAGAAATTAGATCACTAATATTAGTTTTACTTAACTGTTTTACTTTGTTACAAGAGACTTTTCATGATGGAGTTGTCTATAAATGTTTTTAGTGTAAAAACAAAACACATCAGTAAAACTTAGGAAAAAGAACAAATATAGAATTACCCAGAAGCAGTTAGTACTGAAACACTTAACTAAAACTAAAGCAACTGAATTTTGGGGGTTTTTTTCCCCATAAACTGACTACTATTTAGATAACTCATATTGATTCTATTAATTACTCTGGAATATAAATTGGTCATAGCATTGGCCCAAGTGGGACAGCCTGGACCAGGCTACTTAGCTACCTTAGCCACTATCTTCTCTTTGCCCTTATTAAGATAGCACGTAACCCTGAAGCCAAGAGCCTTGGGAAATACAGTGCACCCCCCAAGCCATCTTTGTGGAGAAGCAACCTACTTCATCCTCAGCAACAACTATTGATCAACTTCTGCCAACAGGTAAATGAGCATAAGAGCCCTTGGAGTGGCATCACCCTCCAGGTTCCTGGTCCTGCTTCAAGCCTAGCCATCATCTGTGAGAAAGCAACTCCTGTGTAGAGGGAGGCAAGCCAACCTAGCTAAAGCAGTGGGACGTACTGAGGAAGAAGCATGTGCCAGACAAGTTGAACCACTGCTATCATCTCCTTGTAAACACAGATTTAGACAGTCCAATGTCTGTGTTCATCCTTGTAAGCAACACCTGTCTAAATGTCCTTTTCCTCTTTCCACTTCAGTGGAGACCCTGGTTCTAGGCTCTGGGTATTTGCCCTGAGTTCAGAAGACAGCCAATGCAGCCCCAACGCCTCAGGAATTGGAACCCGCCGAGGGCCTCGACCCTGTAGCACTAGCTTTGGGTCTGCAAAGCTTCAAGTTCCCTGAAGAACCTAAGGAACAAAAGAAGTGGGACAGGACATTGTGTGTATGGAGTGCTGTGCAGCAGTTCACTAAGCCTGAAGAAGCACAGCATCCAGCTGGGGCCAGTTCTGGCCACCCAAAATCATTTGGGGCAGAGACCTACGTTGGAGAACCATGAATTGCCCAGCACAGAAGGAGGCTGAGATGCTTTGAGGTTCATACCCCAAGGAAGCCACAGAGAGGAGTAAAGTAAGCAATAGGGGAAAATAAGGGGGAAAAAACAAGTTACTAAAGATTTCAGGAAGAAGAAAACTTAGACCACCTTGAACATAAGCAGATAAATCAACAGGGAAAACTAATAGTAAAGGAAGTATGACCTCCAGATCTAGTAAATGAGTTCAAGCATCTACAAATAAGTACTGCAAAACAAAGGAAAAAGATCCAACTTTTGATAAGACTGAGGATTCTGTGCAATTTGAAGAGAACATGGGACCACAGTAAGCTGTTCCTTCCTGATTCAAAAGAGAAATGAGAATTATGAGAGAAGAATGTAGCAGAAGTTATGGGCAGAATGGAAATACTGGAATCTGCAATGGCAAGTCTTACCACAGAAGCAAAAGAGGGAACGATAGCTTAGGAACCCAAATACACAAAAGTCAAGGACAGTCTAGAAGAGAAGCCAAAAAATCAGTAACATTAAGAGAAAATACTCCCACAGTGAAAAGACAAATACAGTGTTCTGAAGGACAGCATGAGTAGAGACGATCTAAGGATCCCAAAAAACCTTAACACCACAATGCAGAAATTAATAGAAGAGAAATGCAGCCCAACTTCTGAACATAGAAAATGAAATACCAATTTAAAGAATTCACACGTTGCCTTCAGGGGGGACAAAAGGCTTCAAACTCTAAGACATATGGCAATTAAATTTGACAGTTCAATTCAGAAACAAGTTCTCCAAGCAATTAGGAGAAAGGACTTCAAATACAAAGGAATGGAACTTTCAAATAATAAAAGACTATTCAGCACTCGTTAGAAAACGAAGGAGGGATGGATAATATGTTCCAAAGAGCAGTGGAATGCAGGATGCATCCCAAGGTGGTCTAGCCTGAAAACCTGAGCTTAACAATATAGGGGAAAAGATGGATGTTTAATAGTAAAGCATTTGAAACATTTTTAGAAAGAAAACCAAAAATAGACTATTTGCTTCTTGGAACACCCCACGCAACAGAAATACAGGAGTGAATAAAGGCAGTAACCAAGGATATGATAGAGAAATTGCTAAGAGATTCCTTTCTCAGTGCACACAAGGAGATATGGGTGAAGGCAGAAGTCAGTTGGAGGTAACAGCAAAGAGGCAGTAGGGACATTATAGACAAAACCTGGTGACACCTTGGCTACAAGTGAATCATTGCATCTTTTGTGGGACTACATTACAACATTAGAGGTTACATGAAAGGGGAAGAGGAACAGGACTAGTTGAAGGGGAGGAGGGGAAGGGAAAAATCAACCGAGAGGATAAAAGGGAGAATTAATCTAGATAATAGCAGGAGAGGAAAAGGAATTATCAAGATATTAGGAGACACCCTGTTTTCTGGAGCTAAGACCTAACTAACAAGCTGTGCCCTGAACTTGGTATAACAACAATCCTTCACCTTCCAGATGATCACACCCTCTGGCAAAATCACATAATTATTGTTATTGCTTTGACCAGCACCAGGTGTTCTCTGAGCTCAGACAAGTACTTGGTATATCCATGTTCCAGTCATGAAGCTTTGCTATGAATCAGACTTGTCTCATTGTTGCTGTTACCCCTCATTGTCAGGGCTACAGCTCACTTGTGTAGCCATTGGTATAAGTATTGAGGTTTAGCCACGCTAGAGCAGGTTCTGCCACAGGGGATGAAGAGGCTGGCATGTGTGTCTATTTTGCCTCCTTGCTTGCAAGCCATTTCCCTCACTTTGAAATTAAACTGCTGTTTGAACCCTGATTCTCCTGTCTGGCTCTGGCCATTCATGGGTTAAAGACCAGTTTGGTCTGGTTGACATTAATTGGTGTCAGAAGTAGGAACTTGACACGTGTGTGTGTGTGTGTGTGTGTGTGTGTGTGTGTGTGTGTGTGTGTG